GTTGTTGTTGTTGTTTGTTTTTTTGTTTGTTTTTGTTTTTTGTTTTTTTTAAATGGAGTGTGCTGGATGTCTCTACAATTTTGTTCAAATGACTGCAGAAGCTGGAAAAGCTGTTGCTGCTATTGATGCATAACATATTGCCATTATTGGTCTTTAAATATAAATATAAATATAAATATAAATATAAATATATATATGCTAATTGAAACTCATCAATGTGGGTCTTTTAACAATGGGGAAACGATTGGTTTAAGGATATAAAACTGCAGTTGGATGAGAGGCATGGACTCTATGAAGTCTTGAGGTCTACTGAGAGCATGATAAATATGGTTGATAACAATATGCTATATTTTAAAAGTTGTGAGATAGTATACTTTAAGTGTTCTCAAAACAAAAATGATGAATATGTGTGATATAACATGTTAATTGGTTTAATTTAGCCATGCCATTGTGAACATACTGTATTAGGTATCATAATTGTGCATGACTTTATTTATGAGCTAAATAAATGAATGGAAAAAACCGCAACCTGGATAGCTGCATGCTAAGTGACTATTTGGAAATACTTAGAAAAATGAATATTTATTTTCTATTCTCTTAGGCTGTCTTACAGTCAAACACACTCAATAGGAATGATACAACACTTGTGCCCTCCCCAGAGAAAGGCAAATATGCTATTTAGCTTCTATATGGCCCTTTATAACAATGAAGCTGAATCCAAACTATTGTAATAACTTGGGGGAAAGTTGCTTAGTCACCAAGAACATAGTGCACATAGGCAGGGTGGATCATTCTACATCTACTCACAGCATGTAGAGTAGACTTAAAGCTTTTCTTGAAGATGCTCTGTGTCATTGGCAATACAGTGAGCCTCAAAAGTAAACACCATGGCTGCTTAGAAACATAAGAGGGCTGTTGTCTGGATAATATGCCTTGAGGTTGTCAGTGTCTCTTATTAGAAACTTCTAAGGGCTATGGGCCATAACAAATAGTTGACCAATCAACACAGGGCAAGCCCTCCAAGCCTGGAAGCACACCAATCCTGAGCCTGTGCATACCCCTAGACACTCCCCTTACGCTGCCCTATAAGATCTCTATGCAGCCCCTTCGAACTGTCTTTTGTAGCCGCCTTGGTGGATGGATGAAAGACCCGAGCTAACATGGGGTTAGCTCGTTAAACAACTATAATAAAGCCTCATGTAGTTTGCATCAAAAAAAAAGAAAAAGAAAAAAGAAAGAAAGAAACTTCTTCTAAGGGGTCTTCTGCTCCCAGGTGCTTCAGGAGCTGCCAGTTAGCATTCAGACATTCACACCACACACAACCAATCCCGGAAATGACATCAAGAAATCCCGGTCATAAAGATATGAAACCCTTAAGGAGGTTGACCCCAAAGGAACATGTGCTTTGCCAAGAAACACAACAAGAAAGGCCTGAAGAAGATGCAGGCAAACAATGTGAAGGCAATGAGTTCCCATGCAGAGGCCATCAAGGCCCATGTGAAGCCCAAGGTGGTGAAGCCCAAGATGCCAAATGGCCCCAGCTGCAAACTCAGCTGCCTTGCTTTCATTGCTCACCCCAAGCTTGGGGAGAAGCTACATGGCCAGGGGTTGTAGGCTCTGCCAACCAAAGCCCAAGGTTCAAACCAAGGCAGAGGCCTCAGCTCCAGCTCAGGCTCCCAAGGTTGCCCAGGCCACTGTGAAGGCCCCGTAGAAAAGGTTTCTGTTTGCCAATGTGAAGACAGATAGACTAGTGTGACACACATACACACTATTTGCAAATGATCAGGACTCTATGATGTTTTTACAATAAACTTGAGGCAAGACCTGTTTTTAAAAAATTAAAAGAAAAGCCGGGCAGTGGTGGCGCACACCTTTAATCCCCACACTCAGGAGGCAGAGGCAGGCAGATCTCTGTGAGTTTGAGACCAGCCTGGTCTACAAGAGCTAGTTCCAGGACAGTCTCCAAAGCCATAGAGAAACCCTGTCTCAACCCCCCCCAAAAAAAATGAAAAGAAAAGAAAAAAGAAACTTTTAAGGGGACTGGGCCCCCTGTGGTGATATATTATTTATGATTTTTAAAGCTTGCCTGAGGATTCAGAAAGCAAAGTCAGCCACAAGCCATAGAAGCCAGGCACACACCTTTAATCCCAGCAGCCAGAAGCTAGGAGGTGGTGGTATACACCTTTAATCCTACTACTCAGGATTAAGAAATAGATGGATCTCTGTGAGTCTAAGGTCACCCAGATCTACACAAGATTCAATCAGTCTAAAAGAGAATTTTAGCTCACACCTTTAATCCCAACACTAGAGAGGTATAAAAGACCGGAGCAAGTAGTCAGGAGGTGGCATTCATTCTCTAACAAGGCTGAGGAGAGGTTACAGTCTGAGGCTTGGTGAGAACTGGGAGAGACAGGATCAGCCCATTCAGCCTGAGGTAGGGGTAAGAAGCTGGTGGCCAGATGCTTTGCTTTCCTGATATTTTTTAGCTTGAAGTTTGAACGCCAATATCAGTCTCTTTGTCCTTTATTTATTCGTGTTACACCCCCATTCCCAGAGCAGTCCACCCTAGAAGATGACCAGTTCTTTGAACACTGGTGTCTGAGGTTCATGGTTCTTTCTTTTGCTTTACTTTTTCTTAGTATCGTATGTGTGCATGATATGTGGGGGATGCATGTCTGTGGGGCATGCATGTCTGTGGGGGATGCATGTCTATGGGGGATGCATGTCTGTAGCATGCATGTGGAGGGTACAGCTTTGCAGAGTCGCTTCTTTCTCTCCACCTTTTTATGGTGTGGTGATTAGTTCTAATTGTCAACTCTTAGAATCACCCAGAAGAGTCTCAATGAGGGCTTGTCAAATCAGGTTGACCCATGGTTGTATTGGTGGGGGATTGTCTTGATTATGCTAATTGGCATGCGGAAACCCAGCCACTTATTGGACAGCATTATCATCCCCTGGGCTTTCGGTCCTAGACTAAATTATAGAGGGCAAGCAGAGCAGTGGGCATACATGCATGCATTTTCTCTCTCTGCTCTTGACTGAGGATGTGTCTAGCTGCTTCAAGTTCCTGCTTTGCCATCCTTGCCATGAACTGTGACCCAGAACTGTGAGTTAAATAAGCTTTCTCTGCTGAAGTTGCTTTTGTCTGGGTATTGTATACCAGGGCCATGAAGGAAATTTCGGGATTGTGGGTTCTAAGGACTGAACTTCCAAGGTCAACAGGTTTTCTTTCACAGCAGGTACTCTACCCAGTGAGCCATCTTGCTGACCTAGGTATGTCCTCTAGCAAATTCAGGACCCCATGAATATTATAATGAAAACCTGATTACTAGAAAGGCAGGAAATACTCTCCTAGTGATTAGTTGCTGAAAAGGAACCATAGACATAAGGAGACAGATTGATGTCTGTGAGGGAGTGTGGGCATCACATGAACTATCATGAGAGCTATCAGTGACCAACTGCATTACTCATGAACTGTGGATTTCTAAAATGAGATCCATGGGTGATTTGACCGAGTTCAGTGGCTCACATTCTGCTGGAACAGTGTTGGAAGGGAGGCTCTCTGCATGAGGAACACCAGTCACAAGGGAATTTGGTAGACTAGGCATCCAGGAAGCAGCCAGGAAGCTGCTTTTAACAAGCTAGGGGGTAGCCAATACAATGTAACATTTGGGAACCCCTGCCACTGAGCAAATCTAAAATGATAATCTGAAGATGTTACTGTGTGTCCCAAACCTGTGAAACGTTCTGCTTACTATTAAATAGAAAGAATATCATCCACAAGTATGGACAGAAAAGTATATATATTGAAGATCTAGCTCATTTTCTTCTACATGTAGAGAAATAGGCAAAAAAAATAGTTGTAAGATTTCCCTTTATCACAAATAAAGTAAACATGTTGCCATCAAATAGACAAATTCATACTCATTTAGCAAACATACTTCCTTGTGGCTAAGGTTACCTGCAGGTGTGCTTTTCACGTGGCACTCATCCCTCTTGATAGAAAGTTCTTCTTCCAAAACCTCCTTGATTCTCTTATGGGGCTCACAGTATAAAAACGTCTTCCCTGCAAAGATATTCACAACTGATTTGTCACCAACTATGCCCAGCCTTCCAGCCATTATTCCTATGTGAATCGAGTTTCAAAAATGGCATGTCATCTCTTAGGAATTGCAGACAACTTTGCCCTGCAGGCTGTATCTTGGGATATCTTTCATCACAACTTCTGGTTTGGAGGACTTCATACTTTTTTTTTTAAGATTTATTTATTATGTATACAGTGTTCTGTCTACATTCATCCCTGCAGTTCAGAAGAGGGCACCAGATCTCATTACAGATGATTGTGAGCTATCATGTGGTTGTTGGGAGTTGAACACATGTTAATATTCTACAACAACTTTTCTTTCCTCATTGTTTCATTTACTGTTGATTAATTTGCATATTTGCATACAATTATTATGGAAACTGATGGTTTAATATCTATCTTTTGAAACCAGCCATCAATACATAAAGGCAGAAGTCTTTCTGTTCTACTCATTGGAATATCAGAACTGAGTTTGGCATAAAAGACAGAAGCTGGGTGGTGATTGTGTACACCTTTAATTCGAGCATTCAGGAGTCAGAGACAGGTGGATCTTTGTAGATGCACAGATTAAGATACATGGGACTAGGATAATATAGGTTAATTTTATTCGGGAGAAGTCACTTACATGAGAAACCGATACCCACAAGTTCCAGCTCCAAGGATCAACACCCAGCTGCTTTCTGTGACCCAACTGGAACCAAGAGAGAGCAAGCCTGTCCTGGACCCCAGACCAAATCCCACATGCTCACTTAAGCACCTGTGACCATGCCCAAATGGGCGTGGTCAGCGCCACAGGTGCATCTGGTAGATCTCTCACTACAGATCTTTGTGAGTTCAAGGCTAGCCTTGTCTACAGAGTGAGTCCAGGACATCCAAAGCTACACAGAGAAACCCTGTCTGGAAAAATAAAAACAAACAAATAAAAGAGATGGACAACAGCAGATGTTCAGGTAGGATGCACTGCTGTGTACCGGTCTATCAATACAGCCTTACAACCACCAGAGAACAAGAGCTTCCTGCTACAAGTCAAGGAGCTGTAGAGAACTCAAGCAAATTCTTCAGATGTTTAAGATTTGATGTTAATCTTTCGAAACTATGGCAGGCATCCCCTCTTGTTCCTGGTTAACCAACAGAGAGTATGATTGTGGCATGAGTGTGCTTGTCCTGAGTGCAGACTGGCCCAAAGAGGACAAACTGTTTGGATAGTGACCCTGGGCTACTTCTAATGGTGAGGATCTGGACATACCCCAGACTCAGAAAAGGTACAACCAGACAGGTTTGGGTTCTCATTCTTGTTTCCTAAAGGTTGGGGTCCTGTGAGTAAAAGCAGTGTTAACTGAGCCTAAGTGTTTTAGGTGTTCTCTGAAGAATCATGACCTTCACCAGGAGGGAAGCAGTCTATGACAGACCACAGAGAAGAGCTGCCTGCTCAAAGTGCAGGTCTCTTGGCAGACTGCTGTGTGGCAGCCAAGAGGAGAATGATAAAAAGCTAGCGAGGGAAAGGCCTCAGTTAAGAAAAAGAAAGTACAGGAGCGGGGGAATAGGACTGGAGACAAAGAAAAGAAAAGACAGACATTACACACTATGCTGCTCACTGCTGCTCATCTGCTCTGTTGGTGTGGTCAACAAACTGTCATGTGCAGGGCAATGGGGGAGGGAAGGACTGCGGAGAGCTTTGTAGCTCTGTGTAGACAGGCTGGTTGACTTCCAACAACACTTGATACTGATTTTTTTTGATGCACCTAAGCATCTTACTTGTGTGTGTGTGTGTGTGTGTGTGTGTGTGTGTGTGTGTGTGTGTTTTTTTCTCAGTTACCTGTGGACTAGTATAACTGTTCACATTTTATAGTAAGAAAACCCTGGCATGGTGGCATATTGATCCCTGGAGCTTACTGGCCAGCCAGTCAGTCGTTCAAGTCAGTCAGCCAGTCTAGCCTATCCTGCATGAAAACTTCCAGATCAGTGGTACACCCTGTCTCAACCAAACTTGGTGGAACCTAGTGTTGTAGGGTTGTCTTCTGGCCTACACACACACACACACACACACAAAAAAAAAAAAAAAAAAAAAAAAAAAAAAAACCCCCTCCCACCCCTCCATGATTGCCTCTCTGGGGATTAGCCAGAGGCTCCTACAGCCCTGGAAGCTGCTTGCATTCATCCTTGGCCCTTGGTTTTCACTCCTGTGTGAGTGCCTTTATGAACCAACTCAGCTGAAGGGGATACCCAGCGCTTGGGTTCAGGAGTCCTTGGTGAACAGGAATACCCCCTTCTACACCCTCGGCCTGAAGAGATCCCGGGTACTTTCTGCCAGTGTCTTTATCTGTCTTTGCCAAACAGTGGCTCTACAGCCCTTCCCTAGAAATCTTCAGGGCTTCGTCCAATTCCACCCTGGAGTTCCCAGCCTTGCTGTCACTTGTCTCCCACAGTCCCAGGCCCCACGTCCCCACGGCCACGCTTTAAGACTGGAACTGAACTTACATTGTTGGCGGGGCTCTTGGGGGCCGCCCGGCTCAGCGCGAGCCCTGCACCCCAGCCCTGGGGGCCTAGGCTGCTCTCCGTCGCGGCTGGCCTCCGCTGCTGTCCCTGCCGTCACCACCAGCGCCTCCTGCCGCCTCATGTCACTGGGGTCTCTGCGGCCCAGGGCCACCAGGCCTCTCAACTCCGCCACCGGCTGCTCTGGAACGCGAGGCGTCTGAGGTTGCCATAGTGACCGCGGATGCTCAGGGCCTCTAGGGCTCTGCTAACTTCTCCCAGGCCCCGAGTGCTGGCGACAAAAGGGGCTGATTCCTTAGATACAGACACACGCAAAAGACCCAGCTTCTCAAGAGAGGTGTTTCAGTTGCATAACTGGGAAACCCAGAGTCACAAAACTGGGGTGTGACTCAGCAAAGTCCTCCCCAAAGCCCTAAGGATTATTCACCGCCTCGGACAGGGAAGGTGTGAGTACTGGGGTGCAGCCCCAGGACCAATGATTACCTACTACGAATTCACAATATTGGTGCTGTAAGTTACTAAATAACTGTAGTTTAAGAGTTTTGTATTCAATGTCTATGTTAGCTCACAAAACCACCCATTTTACAGGTGAAAAATCCACAGAACTGTAAAAGTAAGCCAGAAAAGTTGAGAGTTTGAAGCAGCGGCTACCTCCGTTTTTCTTTTTGAAGTCATTAAAATGTTGCATTACTTTTTTAGAAAGTGAAATAATTCGACAAGGCTTTTAACAAATCCAGGAGACATCCCCTCCCCCAATATGTCTGTCTTTACTGCATCCCAGTTACAGCCACTTTTATTCTTCTTTTTGCGGGGTGAGACAGGGTTTTTCTGTGTAGAGCTGACTGACTGTCCTGGAACTCTCTCTGTAAACTAAGCTGGCCCTGAACTCAGAGAGATCCGCCTGCCTCTGCCTCCCAAGTGCTGAGATTAAGGACATGCAGCCACCTGCCTGTCTCCCATCTTTAAATTCCAGAACAAACCTTGGTACATGTTTGCTGCACATCTGCCACTGACTAGCCTCCCTACACCTAGACATCCTCCTGAGTGCTGGGATCAAAGGGGTGCGTCACCATCTCCCAGCCCATTTTTATTCTTGATTGATAATTTCATGTTACAAGCATTAAACCACACTGGTGGCATAGAATAGTCTAGAAACTGACCTAACCATGTATGAGCACCAGATATAAGCAAAGGTGTGTGGGGTGTGACTGAGAGAGAACCTTTTGAGCAGTGGTCATAGATAAATTGGATGTTCATCTGGAAAAAAGCTGAGCCTTCACTCCTGGCATATAGTAAACACAAATAGCAGAATAGATGGGTCGTAGTCATAAAGGTGGAACACCAAGGCTTCTAGGTACTGTCTATTGAACATGTTCACGACCTTGGAGTTGGGAACAATTTCCTACGCAAGCAACAAAAGACATTAGTCCAAAGAAAACAATAAATTAGAGAACATAAAATTAAGATGATCTCGGGCTGGAGAGATGGCTCAGAGGTTAAGAGCACAGTCTGCTCTTCCAGAGGACCTGAGTTCAATTCCCAGCAACTACATGGTGGCTCACAACCATCCATAATGAGATCTGGTGCCCTCTTCTGACATACAAGCATTTATGCAGGCAGAACACAATATACATAATAAATAAATCAGTTAAAAAAGTCACTGTTAAGAATGTGGGGAGTCAAGTCCCAGACTGGGAGAACATTCTCAAAACACATTAGTTAACAAATAACCAGGACCCAGATTATATAAAGAAGTCTCACAGATCAGTATGAATAGGGCATAGAACTCAGTAAGAGCATGGGGAAAGATAAATGGACACGTGACAAAAGAGAGCCCAATAGCTGCTCATCACGAGACACTGTCCCACACTGTTTATCATCAGGCCAAGCAATGGAAGCTGCCAGGAGCCGTTACTTGCCCCTCGTTAGAGTGGTTGCTAAACTAACAAAAAGGAAACAGTCCCTCCTGGCGGCAGTAGCAAAGGTTGGAGGGCACCTAGCAACTGGGCTCCCGTTCTCTACTGTTGAGTGCTACCTGAGCTGGCCATGGAGGTTTAGGCAGGATTGTTTGTGACCAGTGGGACAACACAGTGAGAGATTGTCAAAAACAAAAGTGTAAATTTATGTGATCAGTTTGAAGAGCTCCCCCCCCCCCCCCGGCTTTTACTAAAGAGGAATGTAAGTACTTCTCAGTCCTAATATCAGACACATACTAAACTGTGGAACAGGTGCACCAAAAACACACACTGGCATGCTCTTACCAACACCACTCACCAGAGCCCCAAAGGCTTGTAAAAGAATCAGAAATAAGATGTGCCTACTAATTATTGTGTTTTTAGAATAGCACAAGGAGAAAGAGCACACTCCTTTGTGTAGAAATGTGGGAGAATTCCACAGATGTGATAGTGGGCATTGTAAATTATTTCATGGTGCAGTAGATGCTGAGTACAGATGATGAAGTAAAACTAGGGGCTGGTTTTAAGAAAACACTGAGGGTATGCGGGCAGGCTTTGGGGACCCCAACTATGTTCTGCACCTTGATCTGAGGGCAGCTACAAGGTTTGTTCATTTTGTATAGTTCATCAAGGGTTCTAAATTATGTCTACAAGTTAACAGTTAAGCATATTTTAGTTAGAAAACAAAGTTTGTCTGAAATTTTACTGATTAAAAACAATATAGTTCGGCCAGGTGGTGGTGGGCCAGGTGGTGGTGGCACATGCCTTTAAGCCCAGCGCCTGGGAGGCAGAGCAGGCGGTTGGCTGTGAGTTCGAGGCCAGCCTGGTCTATAGAACGAGTTCCAGGACAGGCTCCAAAGCTACACAGAGAAACCCTGTCTCAAAAAAACCCAATATAGTTTATTTGATTAAATAATAATCACTCTTGTTTCCTTTTTCTCCAACATGGAAGGAAGCCCTGGAGGTTATCTCATTTTTGGTTGTAGTAACTGCATTCACTTAGGTAGCTTCTTTCTTCTCTCCTCTATGACTTTGATTTTTAATTTTCCAATCTCCATATGTGTGTGCCACTTAAAATGCCTTTGTGTATAAATTATTGGTTAAAAGTATACAATACAGAAACAAGGTAGTTGGTTTATCCTTAGTAATTAAATGAGAAAAGACCAAAATGTCCACTAGGTGGAGACAAAACCAAAGACTAATTTAACACACACACACACACACACACACACACACACACACACACACACACACACACACACACAGATGCACTACTCAGTCTTTAGGAAAAGAAAGTATTATCAAATGTATTATCAAAGTTAATACATTAAATCACATGACTTAATAGCACTTTAGTAAAAATCTAGGTGAATGCATTGTGTGTTTAATTCTTTAGATTAGAACAGGTCTCAAGAACTATTGCCTGTTTGTTTAGGTTTTAAGTAATGATTAAGTAACGGGGTGCTTCCTGCTGTTGTGTTTCTTTAGAGAAGTAGATCCAGAGTCTCATTTCATTTCCCACAGTCCTAAGTAATGTTCAAAAACAACCAATCCTCCTTCTCTAGTAAGTAGCCACCATTTCAAATTCGTTGAATGTTTTCAAGTGGATTAAATTTCAGGGCAATTGGATTTCCTTCATCTGTCAGTTAATGGGGAAGCTGCTCCTTACAAGGGCTTGTTTGCTTGGGATTTTAAAACTCCAGTGAATTGATATAATACAATTTTTTGGTAACTTACAAGATCCCAAAAGCTTCCAAGAAAATATACTTCCTAGAATTTGGGCAAGAGGTCATCATGTGTCCCTACTTGCTATAGAAGTATAAAAGGATAAAATTAGTCATCCTTGGATATCCACCTTCAAAAATCATCCTCACTGAAACTAGGTGTGGTGTCCCATACCTGTAATTCTAGCCCTTTCTGTGGGCCGAAGCAGACTGCTGTGAGGTCAAGCCAACCCAGGCTAGAGGAGATCTATCTCACAAAACCATTCAAAGAAACCAATGTAATTGCAATATGCTTCCTGAGCAAGACCCATATTTTGTTTAAAGGACTGTAAAATAAAATGATTTTTGAAAGCCATGCCTACCCAAATACCACTATAATCAATAGGTAAAAGTTCTAATCAGTCTTGAGATCCCATGTCCAGCAATTCTGCAATCTGACTGTTGTCTATGTCACTAGATAAATCTAGTATTTGCCTTTCTGTCTATAAATGAGTTCTTCCCTGCTCCCAACCCCCCAGAGGAACATTCATTTGAAGGAAAAAGAAAGTCAACTTGTTATCTATATCTGGATGTATTTCAGCTTTATTCTGTTGACTGGTATCTCCCACTAATACCCTACTGCGCTAAAATGCTGTTCCATTTCTAATCTTCAAACCAGATAGTGTAAATTGCCAGCTATTTTTCCATTGCAATGACTTTTGCTTATTTATGCTTTTACACCACAAAGTGAAGTTTGCTTCTTATAGGTGTAATTGCACCTATGTGAGGTGGTGAAAACAAGTAAGCTCATTGGTGTGGGGTAGGAGTGTAGTTTCTAGGGTGGGACATGGAGGGAAATGGGGAAAGTTCACTGGGCATAGGGTCTCAGTTATGAAAATGTCTTCGTTCTAGATGTCTACTGGGCTGCACTGTGCCTGTGGGTAGTGACACTAGTCTCTGCACTTAAAATTTTAAGAGGGCAAGCCTTATGATAAATGTTCTTCCCATAACAACACCACCAACAAAATGGGCAATTTTTTACATAGAAGAAAAATAACATGGGATTTTACATGGAAATAGAGATCAAATTAACACATTTGTGGCCTACATAAAATGCATATTTCACATGTGGCTTTGTGGCATACATATTTAAAATATAGATGTAAATGACCACATTTAAAAGAATAGGCTGGGGACTGGAGAGATGGCTCTTCGGTTAAGAACACTGGCTGCTCTTCCAAAGGTTCTGAGTTCAATTTCCAGCAACCACATGGTGGCTCACAATCATGACCTCTTCTGGCAAGTAAGCACACATTCAGGCAGAACACTATATACACAATAAATAAATAAATCTTAAAAAAATAAAAATGAAATAGTGGGCTGGAGGGCTTGGGCATTAAGAATTCATACTGCTCTGTCCCAGCACCCACATCAGTGACCAGGGCACAACTGTCAAATCTCCAGGG